GCAGATCTGCTCTGTTCCACAGGGTTGCTATGAGTTAGAATCAACTCAGTGGCAGTGAGTTACCACTATTCAAAAGGAAAATCAAAAGAATATGCAACAAATAAGTAAGTCCTACTTCAGACACAGAGAGGGAAAAGGACTATGTGCTGATGATCGGGGGGGCAGGCTTGTAGTGTACACCCTTTGGTTGGTTGATGATGCATGGAGGGGACTGTAACCATAGCAATGAAACAATATACAATACGATGAATGTAAAACTAATGTTCTCCCATGTAAATTATCACATAGTTCACAATAAAACATTAAAAAAGCAAGTCCTTTGTAAGAATGGTCAAGCATACCAAAGCATTCCTATATTCCTCATTCCTGATTTTCATTTTAAAAAACATTTAGATACAAATACACATTGTATTAAAATCCTGTCCTGACAAACCAGTATATGGAGATTTATCAGAGGTCTTCCTTGCCAGGATGATTTCTGTAGGCTCTAGGGCCTTCTCTTAGTCTATAATCTGAATTGTTACCAAAGTCATACCCAGACATTTAAAGGCTTTTAAGAAAATTGAGTCAACTTACTACATGGATGTCCTAACACTTTCACTTCATCAATAGCGATGTAGCCTTGATGTCCAGATGTGATTACTTCAAAAATCACCTGAAAAATTAAGAGAGCTATGTTATTCACTCGTTATTCACTCATTATTCACTTTTACCAAATACCTACTATATATAAGACACATAACTTCACCAATTTATTCATTCATTCATATATTCAACAAACTGAGGCCCTAATATCTGCCAGTCATTATCATAGCATCCAATACTACAAGGATCAGTAAGACCCAACCTCAATCTTCAGGTTTGGACAGAACCCTGCCTCGGTCACACGTGGGAAAGAAGGCACACTGTGGTTAGGAACAGAGACTAAGAAGGCTGAGGCTTGAAGGGGCTAGGAGCACAGTGGGGAACAAAGCATAAAACTCTCTGGGACTATGACTCCTGGTGTAGTGCTGTAGGGTAAGAGGTTCAAATCCACCAGTCACTCCACAGAAATCCTATACAGGGTCACTATTAGTTGGAACAGACTTAATGACAACAACAAACAACAAAGGACTTAAATTTTTGAGGAAAGAGAAACACAAATCAAATAAACACACACAAAATAATAATGGAATACTTCTTTATACAATAAGAGGGCAGCATAATTATAGGGGAGAAAACTGCAAATGAAACTATAATCCATGAGGAGACCTTGCAGTGTGGGCAGCGGAGTACAGCGGAATAATGAGAAGGCATGAAGGTAACCTATATGGAGGTAGACAGGGAGGATAGACAAAAAGTCTCTGGGGTTCTGTATCCAAGAGTTTAAGACAATAGAAATGATTCCCCTCAAGAAACACAGTGCAGCTTGTGAGAGGTACTAAGCATGGGATAAAATCTAAAGAAGATATTAAATATATATATATATAGGCTTTCTACTCCCGTAAGGATTTACACCCTCGGAAACCCTGTACAGGGTCGCTATGGGTCGGAACCGACTCGACGGCACTTAA